TGAATGAATTTTGTACTTTAAGAAAATTGGAGTGTTATTATTATTTCAGCTGGTTCAGACTATCTCTGACTTGTCTTCCATAGATGCCCTGGGGCCAGAGGATATTTTAAGGACATAACCTGATGTGTTTACTTTCTAAGACCCAGTAAAGATAAAAATTATTAATATATCCAGTTTTTATTCCTAATTTTTTACAGATCTGTTGGAGAGATTGTGAGTACTTTATGTGAAGAAATATGTAATTTATTTTTTGTCTTAATTTGCCTTTCATCTACCTTCTGTCTTTTGAAAGAGGAGTGCAAAATGACTATGAATTTCACATGAAAGGCTTGGCACCAGTGAAGTTGCATGCACTGTCAAGTGAGTATGAAAAATCCAAGCTGAAAATGAAAGTGGTGATTTCTCAGCAACAAGTTAACTGTTGCTAATAGTTATTGTTGTTGTTAACTGAAAGTTAAATCCCTCATAATGCTATACTGATGCAGACAGATGAGTATATGAGTTAACAACAGACACCTCTTTGTTCTCACATTTATTTCTAATTCCCAGTACAGTAAGAAATGCATGATTGAGGTTAGATGTGTATAGCAGCTATATTCTTAAATCCCTACTTTTAAGTAATGCTCACAATACTAATTTGTAATGCAATCATGCTCCTATTTGTTGAACCTTTTGTATTCATTCTGTTTTCTTGTTAAACTACTGAGATAAACATGATAATAAAATTATTCTATGTACTAGCATGCTTGTTAAATCTGAGAGACAAATTAATAAATGTTGGTTTCTCTATAGTAATAAATACCACAAGGCCATTTGGGGACTATCAGAGACAGGATTACTGTGTCAGTCTTATTAGAACATCACCATTCAAGCTTTGAAATACAGTATTTTCCAGGTTCGTATCAAATACACAGCCTGAGTCAACAGTGCTTGGTAATAGAGATTTTAAAATAAAGCAGGAATTAAGAATACACTTGCACACAATCTATAAACTTGTCTTTATAACTTTATGTACTGCTTCATTTAAAAGTGAGCAGATTTGGGTTGCTCTGGGAGATTTTCTCTCAATTTAGCAATTCATATGTAGATTCATATGAATTCTGAGACAGTCTTTTGATGCAGGAGCTGAAAGTGTCAGTACTGAAGTCAACCTCAGAAAATCTGAAGCTCTAACAGACTGGTGCTTTTATTTGTATTTTTTCAGCTTTGTGTTTAATTTTTTTGTTGGTTGGTTGGTTTTTTTTTTTACATTTATCATGCTAGCTAATCATAATCTATTTCTGACATCAAGATGCTTTTCCAGAGTGATTAAGCACAGCTTTTTAATGTTTCATTTTCTTCAGTCATACACAAGGTTTTGCATGGCCTCTGAAGCAAATTAAACAGTTGTTCAGAAAAGGTACAGAAGGGTGGAAATAAACTTGTTAATGGGGAAAATTGACTTTAGACATAATAGGAAAGGGACAAGGACAGAACAATAAGAAAAATAATGGTAACTAAAATGAGGAAAAATAAAATTAAAGGGATACCAAGAAAAAGAATATTGATTAGGCTATAATAAATGTTCTTTACTTTTGAAAAGAATAAAATATGAATTTTGATTTTTTTAAAAAGTCTACTTTCTGCTGGATTAGCATGCTAGTCAGTCACAGTGATCTGTAATTGATTTCCCTCTCTAAATAACTGATAGGAGTGTGACACCTAGTACAATTATTTTCATGGGTTGTTTGTTTGTTGCTTGAACTAAAAATGATATAAAGAAAATTACAAAATACAGGCATATAATTCTTTTTCAAAGTAAAATAATAATTTGTTACCTGTACCTTAAGTGTAACCTGAATACACGCCTTAAAAATCAAAGAACTTGTGTCTTGTTTAAGCCCTGATTATGATTCCAACCCTCCTGGGAAAGCTGGGGTGGGTTCTCAAAAGGGCAGAATTGGCATCCAAATAGCACATTGAGCCGTAGCATGATGGATGATGGTCACAATACTAAGATCTAAAGGTCCATTACATAAAGATATTTCCTTTGGACATATTTTATGAGTGCCAGCATTCTAGTATGTGGAAAATGTACTTGAATCATTAAAAGACACTTTCACGTTCTGATTTGTCTTGCTAAAATGTAATATCTTGCTCTCAACAGTCACTTCCTAAGAAGTATTAAGGATTGTAAAAAATGAACTATTGACAAGTGTATTTGCAAGCAATCTGCATCTTTGCAGTAGGATGCTGCCTTTAACATCATTCTACAGAGTACTTTGATTTCTATGCACTTTTCAAGACGCTTAGGCAAAGTGTTAAATATGTTTATCAAAGACAAAACAAAACCTAATAAATACTGTGTGCTAGATTCTTTGTATCATCACTGCATCATGGAAGGGACCTGTGACTTATGAAATGGACAGACTTCAGTTATTTGGAGACTTCCTTTTTAGGTATAGATGGACTGGTTTATGAGAATTCAGGATTGGGCTCTTGGCTGAAACTTAGATGAGGCTCTGATGTAGTAATGTAGATAAGAAGAGTCTGCTGAGCTCTCTGCCTGCTTTGACATAACCCTGTTACAGGGGCAGGCACAAATTGAGGACTGGAGTTGGCAAAGTGTGGGGAAATTCTGATGCTGGCACCTGGGAGGGCAGTTATGTGAGATCAGAAAAGTTGGGGTTTTAACACTTCTCTGCAATGTGCCAGCATTGGGATATAAAAAAAGTCTTTCCTTGGTTATGGTCAAGGTGAGACGTATTGTGTTGATTATTAGAGTAGATAAAAGTTTCCTTTGGAGGGTGATCAAAACCCTAATATACCCCTGAGTGGAGGAGGAGAAATACACTGAACCTGTATAAACCATCTCTGAGATCTGAACACTGTATGCAGGAAACAATTAAAACAAGAAGTTAGGAAGCAAACTCTAATTCCCTAAAACTGAGAAGCAAGATTCTTAAGTGCCATTTAACTCCTTTCCTTTTTCTTATTTTCTTTAATATTTTCTACTTTGTTTGAAAACAAGGTCATGTGAATTCTGGCAGATCTACCTTCTCTGACAAGTTGCTAGTAATGTCTGTGTCCAACTTTATGGAACTTTTCATCTATGCAGCTCTAACTCCTGATTTGAATACAGAACACAGCATTAGCAATAAAAATCTCTCTGAGCAACTTGAAAAAAAAAAAGAAACAAAGAGTGAAGGAACCAAATTTCAAAATTAAAGTTTTGTTAATTTGATAATAAGCTATAAACCTGGTAGGTATTTTCTAGGAACCTCAAGAAGGAAATAATTGCCTTTTACTCAGAGATTTTTTTATTTTAAGACATTTTTAAACCCCTTAAAATATCTGTGTGAAAAGTAATATAACTAAAATATAGTCTGAAAGTATCACATGACATTATTGAAAGACTCACAAAAGCTCATTGGCATAAAACTTAGGCATTTGCAATCAGTTTCCTTATAATGTAAAATCATGGAAAATTACTAATTTTCATTTTCCTTCGCTGCATGCATTTCTCCTTTGCAAAATGCATTTGATATAATGTCCTGGTTTGTAAGATAAGCTTGTATTCTATTTGCCATCTGTTGGAGGTTGGGCAGGTTTGTTATTTCTTCCAAGAACGATGGTTTGCTCCGAAGAGGTAATCGTTTGTTAATGGGCCATTGACTGACTCACTGCAGGGCTGGTAATGTAACACCATCCCATTGTGAGATGCTCCACCCAGAGGGGGAAGCCAAGCACTCTTTCATTGTATAAAGGGGTACCTTCTGGGGGACAGAGCAGCTCGCTCTCTTTGCGGGAATTCCCAGAGAAGCAGCTCCTTTGGCAGGACTCCCGAGAGAAGCGGCCGGAGCGCGGTGAGGCGGCGGCAGTGGAGCTCGGAGGCGGCCCCGGCGCAGAGGAAGACCGGCCCAACTGCCACCAGATCTTCAGAGAAAACTATACCCTTCAAAAGATCACCACTTCAGCTGCAATTCATCAGCCACTGCAAGAGGAGCAGCTATCATTTCAACCGGACTACTACCAACACCCCGATCCTCAGGGTGTGGACTTTATCACTAGTTTTGTTTGTACCAATTGCATTTGCCTTTTTAAGTTGTTATCTAGTTTTCTCCTAGTAAAGAATTGTTACTCCCATTCCCATATCTTTGCCTGAGAGCCTTTTAATTTAAAAATCCTGGTAATTCGGAGGGAGGGGGTTTACCTTCTCCATTGCACAGGAGGCTTTTGCCCTCCTTCACAGACTCCTGTCTTGTCAAACCAAGACATATGTCTTGCCAGAAACTCCACTATTTTTACAGTGTCACTTTGCACCTAGATACTGACAATAAGATTAACTTCTGTTCATCTCTGCTTGCTAAAGTGATCTTGTCCTATGCAGCAATAGTATTCTGAGAAAATATGATCATATAGCTTTCATTTTTCTTAGCAGTCATTGTTTCACAACTCTTTCTGAAATCCATTTGCTAAATCCTTGCCGTATTAGTACAATGAAAAACAAAGGGGAAAAAGCTGGAGTTTAGAGTTTATTTAGAGTTTATGTAACTTGCTAGATTTAAGATAGGGAGTGAAGAATCATTTTACATGTGGAGAACAAGCCACTGCTGCAGAAAAGTATGTTCTTTGAACTTACAGTATGTAAGAAAGTATGTTATTTGAACTTCTACTTCGCCTACTTCAGTACTGGTTTTGCTCTACATTTAATAACTAGAAGTATAAATCAAAAAATACATATGCTCATCAGTTTTTAAATCAGAAAAAGAACTGTGTTAAGTACAAAAAACAATGAAATAAAGTTTAGAAATACTAATTTCATAAAGAAATTTAATATGGAGTAAACTAGTGGTAACTTCCGAAACATCAATTTGTGGAAATCTTAGACTGCAGAGAAACTGCTTATTTACTCTCAGGAAAAAATAATGAAAAATAAAAATAAAATAAATAAATAAATAAATAATGGGGAAAAATGAGACAACAAATGTAATTGAGCAAATTCCTTTTTTTTTCTTATGTGTCTGTATCTTGAAGCAACTGTATTGGAGAGCTCTGTTGATGACCCAAGCTGCTGTTATTCTTGAGCAGGTGCATAGCACAACTAAATACTTGTGAGAGTAGTTTCTCTGCCTGGAATATCCTTCTGGTAGCTTGTCTTGCCATATCAGGTCTACGGTTTTCCTCCATTACCTGCAAAATACATTAAGTCCCAGAAATATATTTACATATGAGAATAAAATGTTTGTATTTTTAAAATAGTAAAATGGAAATAAATTAACATAAAAATGTGCAAAAAATCACTGTTTATTCTGCAGGATCTATTAACTAAAATGCAATTATAAAAACTGAGTTTTATATTTAAGCAATTAATGGAATATTTGTTCTTTCTGACATTAATTCACTTGTAGCATTAACTCAGCATATCTACTTGTTTACCTACACCTCTTCTCTTTTCACTTTTCTCCTCCTAACCTTCACAAATAAGTATCATCATGTGGGAAAAAAGACTGAGAGGGAAATTACATTTTTACAGAAAAAAAATTGTGGGCAACATGCCCAACTCCCCCCACAGAATGAATGATAAGGGGGGATGAAACAGAATGGAAATTTATAGACATAGTACAGATATTTGTAGTTATAACAGTATGGAAATAACAGGGAAAAATGTGGTTGCTACTTCTGGGATGAAATCAACAACATGCCCAGCTTCTCACACAAGCACATGGTAGGGTGGGATGGAAACAAAGTGGAGTGGAGGCAACATGGCCAGGCTCTCTCAAATCCTTGGAGAAAAGGAAGCTTGTCGGCATCTGGTAGCTGATTAGCTGCATAGGAACAGTCAAACAAGGGATGTAGAAAATGTCTTTCTGTTGAACCAGCAACTGTGGTGAAATCACTCTCCTCAGAGGTGATACACATCCATCCCAAATTTGTCGTCCCCCAGCATACAGTCAGCTGTCATGGAATACCCTAAATTGGATGTTTAAGTAAGAACTTCATTGGGAATACTGTTTCAGTTAAACACAATAGTAAAAAATTTATCTTAATAAAATTTCCCCATATTTTTCAATAACAATTTGAAATTAATTTTATCACTAACTTTTGGAAATGTAGGAAGTGCCAAACTAAATCTTAAGACATTGTAATGTTTTAACATTAACATTGTAAGACAAGGCATCTTGACAAGACAAAGAAGTAAATACAATAGTATCTTTCATGCTAATTGTATCTTAAATTGTACAGTACATCTGAGAAATTCTTTATAATTTACTATCCATTGATGATTAAAGAAGTTGATTTGTTTGTATTATGTACTACTGAACAAAATGTAAAAACAATGTGTCCTAGTTTAGGGCAAATTTGGGGAAAACCCTTTGGAAGGAGCCTGTAGAAAACAAACCCCCATAGCCCCTCCCCACCCACCTGGTTCAGGAAAAACAAAGTTCTCTGAGAGAAGTGGAAAAGAACCTGTTTATTTAACAAACAAAGCACTCCCCATCACCAAAGAAAATAACAACACCAGATGACAACAAAACTCTTTCACCACTCTGAAGAGATGACAAATCCAGAAAGTCTTTCCTGGAAGTGGTTACCCAGGTCTGGGCACTGGGGATTGCTCTGGGCACTGGGAATGGCTGCTGCAGAGCACAAAACACAGGCTCTTGGTGCTCCTCAGTGTTTCCCAGGTCCCAGTCTGGAGCAGGTTGGATGGTATTCATGAAAAGGAAAGGAAAAGGAACAGTCCAGGGAAAGAATTGGACTGCTTAGCTAAACTAACTAGGAAGTAAAGGCAAAAGCAGAAGCAAGCAAAGCAAGCAAGCAAGCACCAGCCTTTTCTAGACAGCAGACCATGGCGGGAGGTGAACCGGCTGATAACAAGACAGAACAAAGCTTCACTTTCAGAGTCAGTTCTGAAAGCACAGAACATAATGTCAAACATAAACAGAACACATGACTGGAGATACAAACACCATAACGTCACCCTAGAACACAATGGCATTTTATTTGCAAAACACTCTTCCAGAAAAAAAATAATTTGAAAAATTATATAACATTTTAAAGACTACCATGATCAGTATTCACTTTGTTAACAGTGACAGAGTTTTCAAGCTTATGTCAGTTTGTCTGCATCTGCTACTATACGTAACACATACATTTTTTACCATTACTTCCAATGTATTAGGCAAAACACATTCAACAAAGAATATATTTTTCTGAAGTCAATGAGAATTCATGCAAAAATTATTTTAAAAAATGAAGTTTAGCTTTGGTTTGCAGATCAAGATGCAGCTCTGAGAATGAAGTTGCCATTTTAAAGCATTTTTGAAAGACATACATGCATCTTTCTTCAGTGATGTATGTAATAGAATAATTTAGATGCTCACACTAAATTTCTTTATTTTTCATTGGTTTTGTCTTGACCATTTGAAGAGTTTTTGGCATAACTCATTGCATGCTTCTACAAAAGTAAAATTCCCATATTAAATGTTAATATTTATGATTTTATTAATAATATGTAAAAATCTCTGATACTTCAAAATTTTACTGTTTCTTCTGAACACAACTTCTTAATGATGCCAGTTATTATCTTTTACAACCTGAGGAACTGAAACAGAAAGAAAGGGAATGCTTTACAAAACTGCATTTTACACTTTTTTGAAATATTTGCAAAAATGATTATTCAAGAAGAAGCAGCTTAAAGAGAGCAGAACATAGCTCTTCATGCTAGTGACTTCACTCAAAAAACTAAGTGTCTTCAAGCAATTTAATCTTGTATTTATTTATTTCTCTTTGTTTAACTTGATTTACAGCTTTGAAAAACACATTATTACCCATTTAATTTTAATACCAAGTATTTAATCACACTACTTAACAAAAAATCTTCAAAAAAATTGAAAATGTATTATGAATAATTTTAAAATTTAGTCCTCTTTTGACTGATGTTAATTTTGATATACAAAAGATCTAAGTAAACATGCACAGATACTTGCAGTTAGCAAATATCAGTTTTTAAAGCACAGCAATGGAATGAAATTACAGTAATTCAAATATTTGATCTGTTTTTTCATTCTTGCAGAGGGCATCGTCCTGTTGCAATATACCCTGCCAAAGTACTTGATATGTTAATTTTCTTTCAAAAAAACTGTAAACCCTTAAATACATTGAAGAAGCAGCATAAATTGAACCATTAATACACCATAGGTCTTCTGCATCCCAGTCAAATATCTCATTTCATCAGCCACATAAAGCTTTGAGCTCCACTTTAGTCAATAATAATCATAACTGGAAATAAGCCAAGTGAACAAAAATGTGAAATTTAGTGTAGAAAAAAGTACACACGCAACAAAAACTTCATTTTTTGACTTGTAATGAAGCATGTCACAATGACAACTGCTGAAAACATGACATAGCTCTTTCTGGATTAAAAAAAAAAAAAAAAAGAAAAGTGTTTTTAGCATCCCCACCGTTAATAAAGATTAATAAATGTCAAATATGCTATCAAATATTAAAAAAAAATACAAACAAGAAAATCCCCAAGTCCCAGATCTGTCTCACCTTTCAAGATCTTTCCATAGGTTTTAGAACAAATGACAAAGGAGATAGAGTCAGACAACTGCTGAAACAGATAGGAAGTTCACAAATGTTTCCAGCATTTTAAAAACTAATTTTAACTGTGAGCTACATGATTTATTTCAGAGAAATGGGATTAGTAAATATCTTTTGGTTGGCAGATGTAAAAAAAACCCTCCATAAGCCCATTTTTCACTCCTATGTGACAACTGTAAAATTATCTGCAGGAAAACAGCCTATGGAGTAAAGAATGAACGTGATACAGAAATATGTTTGGCCAAGTATTATATCTGCATCAATGCTCTTCTGACAATAAGAACACTGAACACAGAGAATTTGATCATAGATCAGCTTAGACACCTGGTCTGTGATTTTTGTAGCATATGATTCAGTATATTTGACCCTGTGATATCATTCCACTACAGAAATCTGTTAAACAAAGGCAGCTCAAAGCAAACTGCTAATGGAAAATCCTAGTTTCTTCATCATGTTTACTTTTATCTTTTGTAAAATTTCTCTACCTCTGGTGAAGCAAAGAGATACTCAGGTAAGCTACATAAAAGTTAGCTCAGCACCTGAAGACAGCCTAGCTAAATAAACATAGTCTTCCCTAGGATGTGTCCTAGTTAGCTGGATTTTTCCTAAGCCTTTGGCAACCAGAAAATAAACCCAACTCAAGGATTTCTAACTTAAGCATGGACATATACAAATGGGAGAGTACCATATGCTGGAATAAGGTGTGCCCTCGTCTACAGTCCCTTTGACAGCAGCAGTGTCAGTAAGAGGTGTCAGCAATGCGTGGCTGCACTGTGGTCAGCAAAGTACTTCCACCTCAGCACCAGAAATGCGAGAGTGCCATGCAGCCTCTGGATGTGCCGTAATGTACAGACAGGGAACAGCTGTTTTTTACAGCCAACAGTAATGCAATAATACTTATAAAGATGGAAAAATATTTTGTTACTTAACATCTGAGCAACCCGCTTTATTGAAATGGAATGTTTCCACATGTAAAAATGCATGTTTATAAATAATACCATTGAAATAATTATTACTTTTCTAAAAATGGTTAGTGTTGTCTTTTTTTGAATTTCTGTGTAATTTTTCACTTGTCAATCTCTCTGTAAGGACGGGACCTTTTTCTGAGAAAATCATGCTTTAAAGTACCCCAACAATAAGAGCAGGCATAAATATTTCAAACTTCTTTACTTCTGTCATTTCAGAGAAAAAACTCCTTCTCACTCCACTAGAGTGAGAACCCTAATGAGATGCATTTTTGGAGGCTACTAAACCACTGAAGAAGATCTTAGTTCTTTTTTCTGCAGCCTCTTTACACAAGAAAGGCTTTGCTTTTGAATTAGATTTCTAGAGAGGAATTTCTATTTTTAATCTTAAAATGAACTATTTTAATATCATTTATTATCAACAACAACAAAAAAATTAAAAGTGTGTTGAGTTTTCCAAGATCTTTGCTGTATTAAAATAGACATTCAAGTGTGGTTGCATCTGTTAAAATTTTCAATTGTATTTCTATTGTCTATAATAACTTCGTCTAATATTTTTTCTTAGAACTGTTCATATCAAAATATTTTACTGTTAAACATGTGAATGAAAAATACAAT